CCAGGAAGCCCTCCAGGCTGGACGGTGCTGCCCTGTTCCTCATTTTTTTCTGGCCTTGCCCCTATCATCTGGATCAGTAAGTCACTTTTCAAATCATGTCACTCTAGTGGAGTGGGGGGGGGACTCTCAGCCTGTCCTACGCAGTCCTGGTCCTCCCCCTGCCCTTTGGTCCACCTCCAGTCTGTCCACCTCTCTACCACCTTGAGTCCCTTGTGCATCCTGATGTCATTGTCAGCCATGGTGTCACCTTCCCCTGGAGCTCTGTGGGCCGGAAGGGGTCCCCCACGCCCGGCCTGTTGGAAAGGAGGGTTCACCCAGGGAGGTCAGCGCTAGCGTGGCCTCTACTTTCCAGATGGAGACACTGAGTCTCAGCGAGGTCAGTGACTTGCCCAGGGTCACCCTCCGGGAATTGCTGACTCCAGGCCCCCACAGGGCTTCTCCCCAGCTTCATCCACGGAGACCCCAGGGCCCGGTGGGAGAGAGGCAGACCCTCAGGGCCCTGGAGGTCCAGCCCAGCCCCGTCCTTGGCCAGCCCAGGGCTCCCAGTGGCAGGCATGGATAACATTCCCTCTGTGGCTGCCCGTGTCCCCTCAGCACCTCTCCACATGCCTCCGTCACCCCTGGGGCCTGAAATTCCATGGGGACGTCTCATGGCTCTGAGTTCTGATGTCAGGGATAAGATCCCCCATGTCCCCCAGCTCCAACCCCCCCCCCCAGGGCTGTGAAAAGGTGCAGCCTCCCCCAGGGGTGCTGTGAGACCAGGGACCTGCGGTGTCAGGCAGGACCCCGCCCCACCGCCCTGTCCCTGAGGAGCCCCGCCCTCCTGCGGTCAGCCAGGCTCCCAGGGAGACTCCCCGCCCAGCCGGCTCCAAGCCCCTGGGGTCCGTCCTGGAAGGCCCTTCAAAGGCCCCGGCCATTCTTGAGCAAGCGCCAGGAGGGAAGTCAATTCAGCAGCCACATGGGTGGAAGGAATTTGCCATTTCTCTTCACAGAGACCCCCTCGTGATTTACACGGGGGCCACTGTCCGGCGGCCCTGGATGATGGATCCCAAGTGGAAAATGAGATGCCGGGACACAGACGTCTCGCTGGGCTCGTTACCCGCAATGAGATGCAGCTGGCCCCGGGAGCCAGGGCCAGGGCAGGGCCAGGGCAGGGCCAGCCCCCTCCAGCTCCCTGGGCAGCCAAGGCCTGCCACGCCCTGCCCGGCTTGCTGCCCCTCACCTCCCCACCAGGCCTGCTCGGGGCCACCAAGAATGTTAGGAGAGCCAGAGTGGCCAGCTCAGGAGTCAGGTCCCCTGCCAGGCAGCACAGCCACCAGGCGGCCCAAGAAGGACCCCTCCTGGGAACTGGGGGTCTGAGACCCCAAGGGCCACAGGATTCCGCCTGCTCACAGGGAGACAGAGGCCTAGACACTCAGAGCAGGTCCCGTGGGGACCCAGGGAGGGTCAGCTAAGTTCCAGCCTCGGCCTCTGGGCCTCAGTGTCCTGGTAGGGACCCAGAGCCGCCGAGTGGCCTCCAGATGACTCATGCCAGTCAGCTCGGCTCTCCGGGCCTCCTGGTTTTGATCAAGGGTTTTCTAAGAGTCTACTATGTGCCAGGCCCTGTGTGGGGTGCTGGGGGCACCGCAGCGGGCACACTCCACCCTGTCTCCACCCTAGGATCCTATGGCACTGTGGGGAGACACAGCCTGTTTGGGGGTACTGGGTATTGACCCAAGGTTGCTTTAAGACTGAGCCACATCCCCAGTCCCTTTTTTTTTTTTTTTTTTTTTTTAAGTCAGGGTCTCACTAAGCTTGCTGAGGCTGGCCTTGAACTTCTGATCCTCCTGCCTCGGCCTCCCAAGTGCAGGAGTGGGCCACCAGGCTGGCTGGAGACAGACACTATTTTAACAGCTCCCTGACAAAAGTAGCTGATGCCCTGAAAGCATGTGCCACTTAGCTGAAGCCAGAGTGGACTAGGGGGCAATTGGTGCTGGGCAGGGCAGGGATCCAGACATAGGGGAGAGCATGAGCAAAGGCCCTGGGGCAGGAAGAAATGGGACTTTCAGGCAAGCAAATGAAATTCTGCAGTGGGAGCCCAGAGCCCAGGGGACTGTGGGTTTGGTCAAGGAGGCCAGCCAGGGGCCCTCGTACCTTTAGAAAGGTGATTCCAGTTCTGACTCAGGACAGACGCTGTGTCCACTAACACACACCCCAGGACACTGTCTCCAACCTCCTCCTCATCCCCCGTCCTGGCCTTTCCCCCTTGGGATTGCAGTTGTCTGTCTGACTGTCTGTCTTAGGAGTCTCCCTCAACCCCAGCCCTGGGAGGCCAGGCCCCTGCAGCGCCCCAGAAGCCCGGCCTAGAGCAGGACCCAGGGGACCCATCCGGGTCAGGCAAAGCCAGCCCAGGCATTGCTGGGGACACGGACGGAGTCRTGGCGGCAGAAGGCCGCTGGCGAGGACCCGGGTCAGGGGCAGCCACGGCCACCAGGAAACCCTCTCTTGGGAAGGAGGCCACCTGCAGGCAGAGCCATGCGTCTCCAGCAGCCCCACACCTGGCCTGGGCCACTTGGGGCCCTGGGGCCCACCCTGCCCTGCAGCCTGCACAGAGGCCTTGAGGACAGGAGGTGGCAGTGGTGTCCTGGGTCAACTCTGGCTGGGGACAGATGAAGTGAGTGGACGGTGGAAGGTGGGAGCCTCACGGAGCCTCCTGGAGTCCCCTGGCCTCCCCAGCTGCCGTGGCCCYGGGGACAGGCTCTCGGAGTTGGCAGGCCTCGGGGCTGTTGGGAGTTGAGCTTCCGGCAGGCGCTGGTGGCCCGGGTGACCCCTCCCTCCAGGCTGGGCTCAGGTGGTTCCGTGGGCCCCCAACAGGTCTGGCAGCTTGTCCGTGGCAGAAACAGGGCTGGGCCACGGTTTCTAGGAAGGACAAAGTCTTAGCTCAGGAGGAGGGGGACAGAGCCATGTCCCTGTGACCCAGGGGCTGGGGAGCAAGGTGCCTGCTCTCTCTGTGACGTGTGGCTCCTGGTGCGTCCTGCGTGGAGAGCCAGCACGGGCCCCACGCCCAGCTCCACCACGGACCCTGGGCAACCCCCGGGCCTCAGTTTCCTCCTTGAGCTCCCGCAGAGGAGATAAGACCTGCCCACGCAGGCCGAGGACCAGGGCGGCCCTGCCAAGGCCACGGGCCTGTGTGCGCCCCCTCAGCCTTCTTGTTGTGCTTGTTTTTTGTACCAGGGACTGAACTTCGGGGCGCTTAACCACGGAGCCCCAGCCTCAGCCCCTTTTATGTTTTATTTAGAGACAGGGTCTCGCTGAGCTGCTTGGGGCCTGGCTAAGATGCTGAGGCTGAACTTGAACTCACCATCCTCCTGCCTCAGCCTCCCGAGCTGCTGGGATGACAGGTGTGCTCCACTGCGCCCGGCTCCCCTCTCATCCTGACCGTGCCCATCCTCTGGTCTCCCAGCCGGGACAGCACAGGCTCGCTCAGGCCCTGACTCTGCTGCGGGTTCAGAGCTGTAGACGTGACATTCGTCCACCTCCTGGGTTTCCCAGCTGCCTGCTGAGTGGGTGGCCAACCCCGTTCAACCTCTCTCCCCACAGCCAGTTCTCCTCCGGGCTCTCTCTGGGCACGGCTCCGTGGATCACCAGAGCCATGACTCCTCCTGCACCCCTCAATCCCAGGGGTCCTCCACCCTCCTCAGAAAAGGCCCTCGAGCGTCCTGGGACCCGCAGTAAGGCACCCTCCGCGCCCCCCTCTTCAGGTTCAGCCTGATGGCCTTTCCCATAGGTTCACATCCGGGTTTCCAGGCACTGGGTGCCAGAAGAATGGGAGCAACTGCTAGCGGGCTTCTTGGTGGGGTGACGGAATGCTGTGGATATGGACACCCTCGTGATTATACCCAACGCCACTCTAGAACGGTCAGTGTGACGGCGTGTGAGCTGTATCTCAATAAACAGACTTGGCTTTAGATTCAGAGACTTCCTTCTCCCCACAAGATGACACAAAGGGTATCACCAAGTCACTGTGTGTCTCTGAAGCTTCCTTGTCTTGCTGGGCTCGGTTCCCATGTACAGATGTGCTGTGGCCTTTGCATCCGGGCTGCCCTGAGGGGTGCTTGTGTGGTTTCCCCTTGGGGTCTATTGTAACTCTGCAAGTCCCCACCATGTCTTTTGATGGACATGTGATAGGTGTCACAAACCCAAAAGTGGGAGAGCTGGATTAACATGAATAGACGCTGTCTGACCCAGACCTAGCTCCCCAAGTGGCTGACTCTTAGTCACCTTCCTCGCCAACACTTGAGATTGCCCATCTCTTTATTTTAGCCACTGAGCTGGACCCAGACCGTGTTGCAGTTTTTGGTTGTTGTTTTTGGTACCAGGGATTGAACCCAGGGGTGCTTAACCACTGAACCACAGCCCCAAACCCACCTCGTTTTCTTTGTATTTTATTTAGAGACAGGGTCTCACTGAGTTGCTTAGGGCCTCTCTGAGTTGCTGAGATCCTCCTGCCTCAGCCTCCCGAGCTGCTGGATTACAGGTTGCGCCACGGCACCTGGCCTTATTCTGTGTCCTTTGTGTCCTGCGTTCTGAGGGTCCTGTTCAAGAAGTCTTCTCCTTCCCTCTCAACACCCCTGGGCTCTCCCGCCTCCTCTCCCACTCTGCCATGCCCACCTCCTACCTGCTCCTTCCCCCTTCCCATGGTTTTTCTGCCCCCTTTTCTGTCCCCTGTAACCATCTCCCTCACCGCAGTCAGGGTGATCCTCCTGCCCACGGATACGTCTGGCTCCCCTTCATGTTCCGGGGACTGGCAGAGGTCCTGCCACGCACTAGGTGCTCAGTTGGAGCCACACAGACGAAGGCCCTGTCCCGGGGCCCAGCCGGGGAGCATTCGAGCTGTCAATCAGCGCTAAACCAGCCACGAGGGAGGGACAGCCCRGCAAAGCCAGGGACCAAAGAGTTGGGAAAAACCAACCCGATGGGAAAGTTCTTCCCCAGTGACCACCCGTCACGCAGGCTCAGGCCTCAGCGGCATTTATTCCTGCCTGGGCGGACCGTGGGACAGGGGTCCTCCCCCGGGAACGCCCCCCGGCCTTTGCCGGCTCAGCGGGGACCGTGCGCTAGTCCTTCTCCTCGCCGTGCGTGATGACGTAGCACAGGTTCCTGTAGTCCAGGTTGCCGCACACGTCGGGCGGGAAAGCCGCGAACATCTGCTTGACCTGGGGAGGCAGCCGGGGGTCAGCCTGGGGCAGCGCTGCCCCAGGCCAGGGGACCCGGGTGCCCCAAAGCCCACACCTACCTCCTCCTCGCTGAACCGGTCGGCCTGGGTCATGAGCTTCTCTTTGATGCTGCTCATGGAGAGACGCCYGTCATGTCGAGGGGAAGGGCTGCCCCAGGTGGGCATGCAGACCCCAGGGGTGATGGGGACTGGGGAGTCCTGGCCCCGGAGGACACCAACCTGGAGCTGGTGCTCCCAGCCCTCAGTCAGCTCAGACAGCCTCCTCTGTCACCCAGGCTCTCCCCACCCAGCAGCAGGTGGGGACTAGATGGATGACCTTGAGACCCCATCATGACCTTAGGGYCACTCTGATGCCCAGGGTGTGTTGATAACCTACTAATGTCATTGAAGCTGGGCAGGGTGGCTCAYGCCTGTCATCCCAGCAGCTGGGGAGGCTGAGGCAGGAGGATTGCGAGTTCAAAGCCAGCCTCAGCAAAAGTGAGGCCCTAAGCAACTGAGCGAGACCCTGTCTCTAAATAAAATATTTTAAAAGGGCCGGGGATGGGGCTCAGGGGTTCAGTGCCCCTGGGTTCAATCCTTGGTACCAAAAAGAAGGTCACTGAGGGAAGATGCCCAGGACCGGGGCATCTGTAGACTTCTGGGTGGAGACTTTTGCTGATATCTGCGTAGCATTTCACAGACACTAAAATGCTGTTCTAGACACAGGACAGCCTGCCCACGCCCGGCCCCTCTGGGACCTGGGAAACGGGGACTGGATCCCCCTTTCACTAGGGGGGACGCTGAGGCTGGGGGGCTATGGCTTGCCCTACATCCCACAGCGAGACAGTGAGGACCATCCCTGACCGTCAGGAGAGCAGCTTCTGGGGGCAGAGGAGCAGCCCGAGGTGGGACCTGGGGCCTGCACACAAAGGGACGGATCCCCTGGCACTGGGGGACCTTGCCGGGATGGGGGGACGGGCTGGTGGACAGACAGGACGATCAGAGGGCTGAGCTAGGCCCCGTGCTCCCAGAGTGTCCCCTGGTGCCTGCAAGGCAGGCCCCGCTCGGTGCCGATGCACATTTTCCATTATTTATGTTTCTGGGRCAGTCACAGTTTCCGACTCCCTGAGCTGGGGACTCGTCACAGACGCTGTTTCAACCAGAGCCTCCTCTGTGGCCTGCTGGCCAGCAGCCACCTCCTCCAGGTCCCGTGGCCTGGGGAGGCACCTTCCATTCCCAAACTGGGTCCCTGATATGGGTTCCTCCCAGCCCTGTCCTCAGTGGGTGGGAGAGAGTAGGGGGCTGGTCCAGGCCAGGCTGGGTGGGGGCCCCAGGTGCCTCCCCTGGCCCCAAGGTGGAGGTGGGAGCCTCAGGCCCTCGGAGGGAATGGGAAATGGGGGACCCGGACGCCCACAGGACTCTGACTCACCCTCTTGGGTGAGATCGTGTGAGATGGGACCAACYGGCCTCCCCTCCACCCCAGGGTGAGACTCCAAGTGAGCACTCCGTAAAACCACCCCAACCAGGAGCACATGGTCATGGTCAGGTGGCCTGAGCATGTGGGGGCGGGGGGGGATCTCACCTGCCCAGGGCCACCAACCCAGGCCCAGCCAGGCTCAGAAGGAACCTCCTGGGCACAGATCAGAGTTGACACAGCCCCGGGGCCTGRGTAGGCTGCCACTTCCCTGCCTGGGGCTCTGCCCCCTGCACCCACAGGACTCCCATGCTCCCAGAGCAGACCAGGGTCCCTGGCTGGGGAGTGAGCCCCCACCCAGGTGCTGCACCCCCCACCCCGGCCACCTGGAGTCTCCTTCAAGGACCCCTTTGCCTCCTTCCCCACGACTGGGGAGACCCCCAAGGGACCCCACACAACTCCTGTCCAATCCCACAAGCCTGCAGAGGGGGACGCTGGGGCCCAGAGAGGGGGAGGGGCCCAGGAGGGGCTGGGCTGGGCAGTGGCCTCCTGACAGGTGCTGCCCCTGCTGGGCTGGGCTCTGGGTGGGAGAGGGAAGGGGCTGCCTCCCCCCGGGACCCACCCCAGCGCACTCACAGGTCAGCCTTGACGAATCCCTTCCCTTCGGTGTCGAACACCTTGAAGGCGTGGAGAATGGTCTCCTCTGGGTCCGTGCCTAGCAGCAGCACATGGGGCAGGGAAAGCCGTAAGGTGGAGAGACAGGTGCCAGGTGGGCAGGGGTGGGAGGTTAGGGCCCCTCCTGTGGCTCCCAACTTCTGCTCCACGGGGAGGGCCAAGCCGCTCGAAGCAAGAGCAGGGAAGTGAGAGGGATAATAGACAGCAGCACTGTGGGTAGGTGAGGTCATGCACAACCTGCACAACTGTACACGGACACCCTGGGTATTAGCTGTGTGCTTAACTCTCCTGGCTCTATTTTATAGATGAAGAAACTGAGGCTCAGAGAGGTTCCGTGACTTGCCCAGTATCTTGAAACTGCTCTTGYACGATCACTGAGATCTGAGTGGTGGCAGCTCTGGGGCCCACGCATTACCCAAGCTGTGCCCAGAGGCCGTGGAGRAAGAAGAGCTCTGTACTCGGGGCTTGGACAGTGGCCTTGGAGGGTCTKCAGGGTTGACCCACCAGGCGTGGTGGCGGCGTGGCCAGAGCGGTTTTGGTTTTTATCACTGGCGTGGCTCTGGGGAAAGCTGTCGTYAGAAGATAGATTCTGGTACCCACCACGGGCTTCGGCGGCCCTCGTTATACCACTGGGGAAACTGAGGCCCAGAGAGTCCACCGCCTGCCCGAGGCTCCCTAAGAAAAGGCAGGTGTGACGTGCCCCTGGGGACCTCTGGAGTGCCCTCCTCCTCCCGCCACCTGCCCCCCCAGGAGACCGGGGCAGACTCTGTCTCCCCTGCAGAATGGACACTCGTCCAGGTCAAGGTAAGCTGGCCCCAGGGAYGGAGCCTGGATGAGCTGGCCTGCTGGCCGGGAGTGCCCAGAGGAGGTCCTGCCAGAGCAGGGCCGGGGCCCTCAGGTTGGTCAGGCAGCAGGACAGCGGTGGCCAACCTGGGGGGGGGTGCCGAGGTCAGAGGCCGGGGCTGGGGGCTGGGCTGGGGTGGCCTCTGCTGGGCGGTCTTGGTCTCCCAGATGAGTCAGCTGAAAGCGGTCTCTAAAGAGGCCTGGGCTGGGCGGGTCTGTGGCCGGCCCCGGCCTCCTCCTGAGTGAGGACGGTAAGCTGGACTCAGTTAGTCCAGGCCCAGCTGCTGGCCTCCAGTTCACCCTGGCCTCCTCCCTGGAGCGGGCCTCCGCACTGGGGCCTACAAACTCATAAAACTGGCTGCGGAGGGACTGCTTCTCATCCTGGCTGGTGGGAACCTCGTGACAAAGTCTCCTGTCCCAATTAGTGGGAAAGGGGTGGCTACCCCCCCCCCCCGGCCTTTCAGGCTGCTGGCCTCTCACGCAGGCCTCTCAYGTGGGCCTGGCCAAGTTCGCATGACAGGCCAGTGTCCCTGCACAGATGAGGAAAAGCTGCGGCCCTGCGGCCCCACCAGGCCTGGTCACATGGCCAGCCCAGCCACAGCCCAGCCAGAGCCRCAGTCTGGGTCTCTCCATCTGCAGGACAGGCCGGCCATGGGGGCGGAGAGCGCCTCTTCTCCCCCTGGTGATGGAGGGCCTCAGGGRACTGCGCACCTGACACAGGCCCCACGCCCAGGCAGGATGGACCCTGCCTCGCCTACTGTCCAGGCCCCTGAGCCGTCAGTCACCCAAGGCCACTGCCTCGGCTTCCCACCAGGCATTAACAAGTATCTCGGTCACATTCCTTGGGATCAAAGATGGAGGCCGCCTCCCTGCTCAGGGTAGCCACCAGCTGAGGTCCCCCGTGTGTCTCCCAGCTTGGTCCCCTTGGGCTTCTGCGCTCTTCCAGCAACAGCACCCACCTCCCAGGGCAGCCGGAGCCTGACTAGGCCGGCCACAGACTCTCATGCTTGGGGATGTCATTATAGGGACCYGGAGCCAGGAGAGAAAAAGGCTGGGGACAGCCACCGGCCTCCGCCACAAGCTGGTGCCATGTCTCAGGGGAGCCCCGATCAGAGCCAGGGTCCCAGGTGGGGCCCCCTCCTGGCCACTTTCTTGCTGGGGCACCTGGTCAGGTGTCACAACCTCTCTGAGCCTCCTCTGACTCATCATCTGTGGAAGGAGTCCCCTGATCCCGTCCCTGGGGGGGCTGTGGTGGCTTCAGAACAAGCCCAGGTGAGTAGCCAGACCTGGAGCGGGTGGCGGTCATTTTTGGAACCCTGTCCCCGACAAGGTCTCTCTGCCTGGGCACCAGCCCCATCAGCTGATCAGCTGGGGAGGGRGGAGCTGGGAGTGGCCATGGGGCTGTCCTCATGGTGGGCCGAGGCCACTCGAGGCAGGGCTGTGACAGTGACCTCCACCGTGCCGGCCAGAGGGGGCCTGAGGCAGGGTGCGTGCRCCAGGGGCTGGTGCCTGGGGCCCTGTGTTCCCAGCCGTGGTGACCAGGTGTCAGGGCCCCCAYGGCTGGCTAACCCGGCGGCCGGTGGCCCCCGCTCACCCTTGAGCTTCTCCCCGAACATGGTGAGGAAGACGGTGAAGTTGATGGGCCCGGGGGCCTCCTTCACCATGGCCTCCAGCTCCTCGTTCTTGACGTTGATGCGGCCTGGAGGGGGGGCAAAGGGGGGGTCAGGGCGCAGGGCGGGGCGCTGGGGGCCTGCGCGCAGCCAGCCAGGGAGGCTCCCTCAGGTGTCCCAGCTCTGCCGTCCCTAAAGCCCGACCTGCTGTGGGGACATTCAGCCCTCGGTCTCCTGGGCCTCCATCTGCAGATAAGGAACGGACCTCGGGAGCTGCAGGGGGCCCTGGCCTCTTGGCTCAGGTGGATGCTCAAGGCGCATCCAGAGTGGCCTGGYCTGTGTCCCCTAAGCCCCGCCCCCATCAGTGCCTAACCCCTCCCTGGCAGTTGTCCCCACTTCTCCCCCTGCTGTCTGGACCCCTCGTGCCCCCGCCCTTCACACAGGCTGTTCCACCCTGGTAGTGCCCTTCCCGGCCCCAGGTCCCCGTGCTCCCCAGTCGTCCCCGACCTTCCCAGCAGCACCCCAACCCCAGCTCCCCCTCGCCACACCAGGTTGCCTGGCGGCCCGGGCTCAGCTCCACCCCAGGCCAGGCGCCCGGCTGCGGGGTACCCACCCAGGGCCGCGAACGTGTCCCTCAGGTCCTCCTTGTCGATGAAGCCGTCCCGGTTCTGGTCCATGATGGTGAAGGCCTGGCAGAGACCACACTGAGCCACCCTCAGCCCGCCCAGCCTGGGCCCGTCACCACGGCCAGGAGCAGGGCTCCTGCCAACGGCGGCCGGGAACCTCAGCCAGGGCCCCTGGGTCCCCAGCTGCCCGGCCTGGCCGCCCAGAGCCCGAGGGCCGTGGCCATCAGAGCACCCAGTGGCCCGTGCTTGTCCCCCCCTCTCAGGCRCTCAGCCACCCCCATTTACCGAGAGGGAAGCCCGGCTCAGGAGAAAGGCCTGGCCGAGTCACACAGCCAGCGCCCTGAGGTTCAGGAGGGCAGCGTCCCCCCGGCTCCAGCTCTGGGGCACACCAGGGTGGCCCAGGAGAATGAGGACACACTCGGGCAGCCCCCGGCCACCCCGGACCCTGTGCCCTTCCGACCTCGTCCCTGGGGGCAGCCAACCAACCTCCTTGAACTCCTGGATCTGGGACTGGTCAAACATGGAGAAGACATTGGAGCTGGCCCCGCCGTCCACCCTCTTCCGGGCCCTCCTGGGTGCCTGTCGGGAACAGGTGAGGCCCTGCAGCTGCCCCTTCCTTGGAGTCAGCCCAGCTCAGCCTCATCTCCCGAGCACCGAGTCCTGGTGCCCGCAGCACACAGACCTGGCTCCCGGGAAGCCGTGGGTTGGCCAGTCCAGCAGGAGGCCTACGGAGCTCTCCCCGCCACCTCCCGCAGGGCCAGGCACCTGCCTCCTGCCTCCTGCCTGCCCCCACCCCACCTGGCTACCCCAGTGGCACAGGGCACTTCTGTCTGCACCGTGTCGGGGACCCTGTCCCCTCTGCTCCGGCTGGAATCTGGCCTTGTCCAGCTGCTAAAAGCTTCCCATATGTTCTCAGGATTTGTCCCTTGCCACCTTCCAAAGCATCTCCTCCCTCCCACCTGGGTCCCCCACTTCCCCAAGCTCCCTCTGAACTGCCCTGCCCCCTCCCCTGTGTCCCGGGAGCCTTCCCAGCCTCCCAGGAAGACACCTCCTCCAGGAAGCCCTCCTGCCCGCCCAAGGTCAGACGAGGTCAGACCAACAGGCCCTGCTCTGTTCTGGGCCTGACGCCCTCCAGAGCGCACACCACCCTGTCCTGCCATTTCCCCTCCCCGTGGCTGTCTGCCCACCTAAGACCTCAGGGGTGACACCCATGCTGTCCCATTTGCGGTCTCTTGGGGCCCACCCCAGATGTGGCTCAGAGCGGGATCAGTCCATGTTTGGCCATAGCCTCCGTAAGTCAGGTCCCACCTAGGCACATGGGGGACCTCAGGCCACCCACGTGGACGCGGCCCTGGGTCTCTGGCTGGTCTTCCTGCCTCCAAGGGTTTCTTTCAGATAATCCTGCTACCTGTGGGCCCACCACTCAGCATTTGTGAAAGCTCTATGTCCCCAGGGTGCCCCAGGGGACTTCCCCGGGCCTGTCCCCAAGTTGGTCCTTGAAAGAGACTGTCCTTGGCCTCATGGAGGGAGAGGTGGAGGTCCGGGCTCCCTCCAGCTCAGACTGCACCACCCTGGCTGCCCGGGGTGGGGGTGGGGGCTGTCCAGCGCCCCCCGCGGGCTTCCCTGCCCCCTGCCCCCGCCCAGTGCCTGTGTGGTCTCCCCGGCCCCCACCGAGCCCTCGCCCCCTCTTCCCTCCGGCTCCTGGGCCCAGGCAGGAGCAGCAGCACCCGGCTGACTTATAATTAGCTTTTACTGGGTGCTTTGTCTCCACTAATCCTTTGAAAGGGGGCTGGCAGGGTGGCTGGGACGTCAGGATGCTGTAAAACCTCTGTAATATTATAAATCCCTTCAGACATGGTAAAGAAAGAAGCTCCCCCAGAGCCCGTCTCCCATAATTACACAGACATTTCCCTCCGATTAATAAAAAAGGATCACTTCCGTCTGCAGGTACTCTGCCCTCTCTCTCTCAGACCTGCCCTCCGTCTCGGGGTGCCACCCCCACCCCCGTCCAGTCCAGCCTTGCACACGAGGACCTAAGGTGGCCCAGAGCTCAGCAAGGGGGGAAGGGATCTTGACCAGCTACAGAGGGGGGACATGAGGCCAGGGCCCACAACAGCCCACCCATCTCGTCACTTCCCCTTTATTATGGGTCCCTGAAAGTAAGGGTCCCCTGAGAGGGACACCTGGGGAAGAAGGGGGTCACTCCAGCCCAGGTTTTAATTCAGGCCTCGCTGCTCACAGGCTCTGTGATGTTCAGAAACGCACTACCCTCTCTGAGCCTTGGTTTTCCCCATCGATAAACCAACAGAATGCTGGCCTCGGGCACCAGAGCATTTACCTGACCCCCTGCTGACCTGCTGACCCCCAGGCAAGCCCTGTGCCTGATCTCCCAGGCCCAGAGCCAGTCCCTGGACTTGGCCCCAGAGCGTCCAGTGCAGCTGGAGACAGGCGATCAACAGAGGGTGGCCGAGGGAGCAGGTGCTGAGCCCGAGGTCTCAGACCGTGAGGGGCTAACGAGGTGGGTGAGACCCAGGTTCACAAGAGCAAGACAGAGGGCCTGCAGGGGGCAGCTGCAGGGGAGCCCCTGGGGCCTGAAGGGCAAAGCCAAGGTGAGCCGGGGGACCTCACGCTCTGGCAGCCACGCGGTCTGCAATACCCACCCCAGACCCCAATAGGAGCTGTGTCCCCGCAGCAAGGGGCAGAGTGGTGGCCTCCACTGGGCAGCCCCTAGTCCCCGCTCTGCCTCCTCCCCCCTGCTTTCACCTCTGCGGCCCCCACCACGCCTAGGAAAGCAGAGACCCAAATCAGAACCCACGTGGACCGACTGCCACCCCTCAAGGTGGACCGAATCTAGGCACCGAGGTCAGACCAGGCACATCAGGTCAAGGTCAAGGATGTCAGTAAAAGGAGTGAGGTCAAGGTCAGAGTGAGTCCCAGTTAAAGGTAAAGGTTAGAAATGCAAAGTCAAGGTCAAGGAGATGGAGTTGAGGAATGAAGTCAGAATTAAGGATGGGGTCGGGCATCCTAAAGGTCAGCCCTAAAGGCCCCAGCTGAGCTCCCTGGGGAGAGCCGGACGCAGGGACGTGGTCCAGCGGGAGGCGAAGCCKCCTGTCCTACCATGGTCTGGAGTCTCCTTGCGGCTGCACCAGGCTGGGGGCAGCCGGGGGATGGCTCTTTAAATAGTGCTCCTCCCGGCAGCCGGCACCCAGCCAGGTCTAGACCTCAGTTTGGAAGGTGACCAGGGACAGGATGGGAGCCTCCCTGCCAAGCATCTCCCCTGGGCCACGGGGAGTCAGCTAAGCTGGGGATCCAGAGACCGCCTAAGCCCGGGGATCTCCGCCAGCCTGGGGCCAAGTGTTTCCTCGGGTGCCAAGGGACCAAGATTCAGGAAGGGGCCCAGGGACAAGGACATGCAGAGAGTTGAGGCCTGTGACCAGCTGGGAAGGCCTGGCCTAGGGCCCTGGAAGGTCAGGGAGAGGTCCCTGCGGCAGGAGGGAACCATGGGGGACACCTCCCTCCAGCAGGCCCCGTCCTCTTGTAGAGACAGGGGAGAGTGTGACATCCTCTGGCCCACAGGGACCCCCCAACCAGTATGACAACAGCGGTCCTTTAGTGTCCTCTGGGGATGGGTTCCAGGCACCCCCACAGGTACCAACACCTGCACATGGTCAATTTCCTTGGGTAAGTGGCTTAGGTTTTGCATGGAGCCTCGGCCCGTCCTTCAGAGGGCTCCAATTACCCCCCAGATGGTTCATGCTCCCTGATGCGATCTAAGTGCCATGTAAATCATTGGTGGACCGTATTGCCTCGGGGACAATGACAGGGACAGGTCTGCACGCATCCGTYTAGTGCAGATGGCCTAACACTTTCCATCTGCGGTTGGCGGAGCCCTCAAGTGTGCAACCCGTGGCTACAGAGGTCCCCTATGTTGCTCTGTGGCCTGCATTGGCCTTGGTCCCCGTCCCCAACCCTGGGGGCCCCCAAGATTTGTAAATGCACAAGCTGTTGAGAAAGCAAATAGACCAAGAAAAATGGAGGTGACCGGCGAGGGAGGATTGGAGACCCAGACCCCGCCCCACCCTGGCCTCGAACACACAGAGCCACCCCCGGATGTACCCTGTCCCAGAATTCTCAGCTGACATGCCCAAAAGAGCCCGCGCCTGCCCCCACAGGCTCCTCTGGTGTCCAGTGCAGCCCTAGTGGCCCCCACTWGGCCTTGAAGGTGGCCCTGTCCATCAAGCCAAGTCGCCCACTGCGTGGGGACATCACAACTGATCGGCTGCCAGGGCCTGCAGGGCTGTGATCCGGCCATGAGGCCACTGGTTCCTAGGAGCTGGAGAGCTTAACTGTCCCCAGAGCTGGCCTCAGGCCTCCAGGCCCCGGTACGGCTGATCCCCTGCCTCAGGAAGAGGGAATGGGACACTCGTCCAGAGAGGAGTGGCCCCGGCTCTAGGGCTCATGTTCTCCATCCTCCCCACACTCAGCTGACCCGCTGTCCAGGCGGGGACGCCACAGCACACAGGGCTTCAGACACTTCACCAAGGTGGTAAGGGTCAGTGCCAGTATGAGAGGCCTCTTTCTAGTGGCCCCAGAAAGAAGCTTCCAGAAGGTTCTGCCCATCCAAATGCTGCACTTCCCCCATCCCTCTCCCAGTCCTCGCTGACTCTGTCCAGCCCCTCTGGCCTCCCTCCACCCTGCCATGTGGTCCCCAGACAGGTTTCTCTCCTGGCATCCCCCCGGAGGGACTGGCCACATGTCCCATGGTGCCCAGGAGGCCCGACTGAGGGGTCATCTGGCTCCGTGGGCAGGAGCCCAGGATTCGAGGCCCCACCCCCTCAGCCTGTGTGACAGTGACAGGTGCCTCCTGAGGGGAGGCAGGTGGCTGCCATCTGTGCCAGCCACGGGGTGCCGTCTTTCCTGGCCCGGGCCATGCACCTGGCCCGCTCTGTGCTCACTGAGGCGGGGACGGTGCCACTGGGGCTCCAACTCCTGACGGACCTGCTTCCTGCTCTGGCCTCCTGCTGGCCTCGGGCCTCCACACCCAAAGCCAAAGCTCTGGCCTCTGGGTATCACGCCCAGGACCACAGAGGGACTCGGGAATGTCAGGGACAGTCCTGAGCAGGCAGAGAGCCCTCTGCTTGCCCAGCTGAGGGGACACGGAGTTGAGAATCGGTCAAGTTTGCGGGAGGGGGTCAGAAAGCTGGAGAGCAGAGACAGAGGCTCGAGAAACGTTCGCCCTGGGCTGGGGCCATGCGGAGGCCTTGGTAAGGAGACACTGCCGGTCTGCCCTCCCCAGGGACCCTTGTGCACAGAGACATGGACTCAGTGTCCCCACCTGAGAAATGAGGCCAGTTACCCAGTCCTTCAAAGCTGCCATTGGGCACCTTGGCTGTGGGACATCTGGGAAGGAAGTAGCCTACAGTCACCAGCCAGGGTTGGGAGGGCAGAGACCCTACAGAGGGGGACCCTTAACACCTGGGTGGCTCCAAGCCGCAGCTCCCTCATGGGCCAAATGCAAGAGGCAGGGGCCACAGTGGGGCCACACTGACTTAGCTGATCACCGATGGACCATGGTCAGTTCTTGGGGACAGAGAAGCTCCTGGGGTCTCTGCTCCCAGCAAAGAAACTTCTGGGAGCCAGTAACTGGAACTGGAATTCCGGGTGGGCGGGGTTGAGCCAGAGGAGTACTTAAGCCCTGCAGAGAGCATCCTCCTGCCCAAAGGTACCCTCGGGCCTGGGAGGGGCAAGCCAGGAGGGGACCTTGCCAAGAGACCAGCTGCCTTTGGAAGCAGCTGCGCCCTGGCAGGGTGACAGATCTCACCAGAGCTGGCAGGGCCAGGGGACTTTGCCCTTCAACCTTTACCCCCCAGCCTCTCTCCTCAAGCTCCTCAGGGGCAGCAGGCCATCCCCAACCCCACAGCTCCATAGCTGTTGTCCCGTGCCCTGGTCAGCTACCACCCTGACCTTCACCATTCCCCAACAGTGTCCCCAAATGCTCCTCTTGCAAGTCATGCTCTGCCTGGCTGAGATCCCTTCCCAACTCCTCTCACCCCAAAGCCTGCCCTGGTCTCCCTTGCCCGCCCTGGAAACACGCCCCCTGCTCCCTCCACTCTGCAGAGCCAGGGCCACCTGCATCCCCCTTGGCCTTGGGGCTTCCCAACGAGTCCCCCTCAGCTTCACCCCACCTGGCTCAGCAGTGCACCCCCGAAAGCCCCATCCCACCATCGAGCTCTTGCTCAAGCCCTGGCTGCTCCTGCCAAAGTCTCCCAGGGACGCTCTCAGAGCAGGTGCCATGGGCTKCGGCCACCCAAATGGGGCCTTGCGGGACACAGAAGCTAGACGGGGAGAAGAACAGGTGGAGAGTCCCAGCGCACAAGGCCAGGTGTACAGTCACACAGCATCAGGACCAGGGTCCAGCAGGGAGGGGGGCAGGGGGACAGAAGGGACAGGGCTACTGGGAGCTCAAACCCAGCTAAGAGTCCCCAGGACTGGCGGGGAGCCTCCCTGGACTAGGGTGACCCGGGGCCCACCGAGCGGACGGAGCCTCTGCCTCCTCCTCCTCTCTGACATCAAACCGCAGCTATTTTTACAGCAGGACAAGTGGCCACAGACCCTCGCCAGCCCTGGAGAGCAGCTATAAACCAGGGACGGGGAGACGTCCTTTGTGTGTTGGAAGCTTCCCCTGTCTCTTCCAAGTGGTTCCAAATTAGAGGAAGGCTCCAGACCAGGGCGGGGGCTAGAAAAGAGGGGCCCCAGGAAAAGACAGACCATCCCCTAATTGTCCCCCAAATCTCAAGGGTTCCATCTGGTAATTAGAGAGTTGACGGATGCGAGCGGCAATTTCCTTGGGGTAAGAGGCAGAAGGCGGCTAACTGGCTGCAGGTCGGGCTCTGCCCAGAACAGAACGGCCAGGTCGGGGCTGCTCTGGTCTGACCCCGCCTCGGGCCCAGTGGCCTCCTGGGTGTGGCTGCAGGACAACCCCCGTCTGGAGAGATTTTCTAAGAATGTGAGAAATGAAACAGATGGGGGTGGGAGGGGGTGTCCAACAGGGATCTGTGGCTTCAGGTGTTTCCCGTGAACCCTGCCTGCTGGGCGTCCTTGGGCCATGGGTGGTCCAGGGGGAGTCAGGGGACCTGAAAGAGAAGCACTCCCCTTGGATGGGCCAAAAGGGCAGGGTGTGCACCCTCCTCTCTGTCACCCTGGGCAAAGGGCCGCTGTGCCAGCCACACACTCTGGAAGCCCAAGAGATGTGTCCTTGGCTAGGGGCCCTGACCCCAGGTAGCCACATCTCCTGCCCAGGACCAGATCTGTAGCCATCAGGCTCAGCACAGCACGGAAGCTCTCTAACACACTCACAAGGTGAAAAACGACCTACTCTGTGTTAACGAAGAAGCAGAGACCTTGGGGACGTGATGGCAAGGACAACTAGTAGGACTCAACCCCAGGTCATGCTGTTTCTCCACAGCCCAGAGTCCCGGGCAGTAGATAGATGGTAGCTTACTTCCCATCTCCTGAGAGATCACGTTCACCTCCCACAGCCTGGGGGAATGATGCAGTGTTAGATAATCGTCCCAAAGCCCAGTGGGTTCTGTGGGTCAGAAACTCAGGGATGGAGACCGATGTGGTACGCCTCTAACCCCAGTGGCTCAGGGGAGACTGAGGCAGGAGGGTCATGAGTTCAAAGCCAGCCTCAGCAACWTAGTGAGGCCCTAAGTAACTCAGCGAGATCCTGTCTCTTAATAAAGTATAAAAAAGGACTGGGGATGTGGCTCAGTGGTGAGGTGCCCCTGAGTGCAATATCCAGTACCAAGAAAGAAAGAAGCTAACTAGCTCAGGGACAGACTGATAAGGATGCTGTCGTAGCATCTGGTACCTCTCCTGGGAAGGTGGCCAGTGCTGGAGTCATCTGGAGTGGACTGTTTGGTGTCTGGACTAGGAAGACTCATGGATGAGCACTGCTGACCACAGTATGTGACCTCTTCATGTAACTCGGGCTCCCTTACAACATGGCCGCCACACCTGCCATATGGTGGCTCACGGTGTCTGCACAAATGTCCCATACATAAGAAGGAAGTCCTTGATATTTCGTGACCTAACCTCAGAAATCTCGTGGTGACACTCCTACCCTTGCAGTGAC